TATGAAGTCAAACAACAACAAGTGCTGGCAAGGATGTGGGGAAAAGGGTACTCTTGTACATTGCTGGTGGGACTGCAAATTGGTGCGGCCAATCTGGAAAGCAGTATGGAGATTCCTGGGAAAGCTGGGAATGGAACCACCATTCGACCCAGCTATTGCCCTTCTCGGACTATACCCTGAAGACCTTAAAAGAGCGTACTACTGCGATACTGCCACATCGATGTTCATAGCAGCACAATTCACAATAGCTAGACTGTGGAACCAACCCAGATGCCTTTCAATAGATGAATGGATAAAAAAATGTGGCATTTATACACAATGGAGTATTACTCAGCACTAAAAAATGACAAAATCATGGAATTTGCAGGGAAATGGATGGCACTAGAGCAGATTATGCTAAGTGAAGCTAGCCAATCCCTAAAAAAAACAAATGCCAATTGTCTTCTTTGATATAATGAGAGCAACTAAGAACAGAGCAGGGATGAAGAGCAGGAGGAAAAGATTAACATTAAACAGAGACATGAGGTGGGAGGGAAAGGTAGAGAAAAGAAAGATAAAACTAGAAAAAGAAGTACTGGAAGGACTTTTCTTAGATTTGGGGAACTTCTAGACAAAACATGTCTCTTCTTGCCCATTTATTTATTTAGTCAACCATTATTTATTATAGACTTGTACATATTTTTTTTGACCTGGAATATAATCCCAAATTGTATTCTTTAAATTTATTGCTTTATGTTTCCCAGATTTGGCTATTGGAAGCTCTTTGAAATTAATTCCTGAACCCCTTTAAAATGTCTCATTTGTTGTGTTTGAAAGAAGTTCCACTATGCTTTAACATGCAAGACTCTTAAGATTTTTCTTGGATGCTCCCTGCCTGGTCATAAAATCAGCCAGTCTAGCTGTTTTTTCTGTCTATATTTATTTTTGTTTGTTTGTTTTCTTTGATTAGGAATGTTATTAGAAACCACTGTTGGGATGCCAGGTGTGCTTGTTACTACTGGGTGGCATTGCTTCTAGGATCTCTCAACAAACAGCTAGAAAATATACATGCTAAGCCATGCAAACATATATGTCAAATACTATTTAACCATTCATCCATCTTTATCTATATTGACCTTATGACAAATTCACACTGATGTCTCCAGCTCTTATTCCATATCATGATTCACTCTAGGTTTTTCCTTTACTAATCTGTAAATCCTCATTCCAACAGTGAGAAACCTGATGATCTACAACATCTACCATCCTTTTACTCATTTTTTCTTTTTTTTTTATTTTTTATTTATTTTTAAATTTTTTATTGTGGGTTGTTCAAAACATTACAAATTTCTTGACATATCATATTCCACACTTTGATTCAAGTGGGTTATGAACTCCCACCTTCACCCCATACACAGATTGCAGAATCACATCAGTTACACATCCATTGATTTACAAATTGCCATACTAGTGTCTGTTGTGCTCCGCTGCCTTTCCCATCCTCCACCCTCCCCCCTCCCCACCTCTCCCCTCCCCTCCCCTCCCCTCCCCTCCTCTCTCTCTACCTCCTCCACTGTATAACCCTGAGGGTCTCCTTCCATTACCATGCAATTTTCCTTCTCTCTCCCTTTCCCTCCCACCTCTCATCCCTGTTAAATGTTAATCTTCTTCTCCTGTTCTTCGTCCCTACACTTTTACTCATTTTTTCAATTCCAGATGCATGCACAGAAATTTTGAGATTGTAAATTTACAACCTGCAGAAACAAAATTGCCAAAGAGTGTGTTATGTTTGTGTACCTTCCTTTTGTATTTAGTCTCAAAGTTTCTAACAACAACAAATACACTGTTTTCAAAAGTTATTTAGACCAGCACTTTCCCCCCAATTGTTTCAGTGAGATTAGGCCATACATTTTTTTTTGTAATTTTTATTTGTTCTTGTTAATTATACATGACTGAAGAATCCATTTTGATATAATTATACAAAGCTTGGAATATATCTTATTCAATTAGGAGCCCAGTCTTATGCGTGTACACAAAGGTGAGATTCACTGTGGCATATTCGTATATGTACATAGGAAAGTTATGTCCTATTCATTCTGTTGTCTTTCCTATTCTCATCACTTTTCCTTACCTTTCATTCCTGTCTGTCTAATCCACTGAACCTCTATTCTCCACCCTACCCACTTGTTGTGTGTTCACATCTGCATATCAGAGAGAACATTTTTGTTAATGGTGTTAATGGTGTATCTCACTTAGCATGATAATCTCCAGATGCATCCATTTACCAACAAGTGTCATTAATCCATTCTTCTTTATGGCTGAGTAATATCCCATTGTGTACATATACCATAATTTCTGTATCCATTCATCTGTTGATGGGCATGTAGGTTGGTTCCATAGCTTAGATATTGTAATTCTGATGCTATAAACATTGATGTTAGGTCATACATTTTTAATATAGTGTGATTCTTTTCTCAGAGTCTTCATTTCAAATAAGGGTTCCCTATCCTCAGAGTTCATTTTTTAAAAAATTTAAGTACATAACATTTACTCTGTGTGCAGTGAAACTATGGGATTCAAAAAATGCTTATTACTATGTCTCTGCCTTTATAGCACCATATAGATTAATTCATCCACCCTGAAAATCTCCAGGGCATCCTCTAGTCAACACTCTCAAAATCCCTGGAAATACTGATTTATTTTCCTTCACTATAGATTTGCTGTTTCCAGAATACTATGTGAATACAATCATATGTTCATTTAGAAAAATTCATTTAAGGTTTATTCATACTGCTATGTGAATTAAAACTTTGTTCTTTAATTTCTAAATTTTATTGTATGAATACATATCATTCACTTACAAAAAACATGATTGTTTCCAATTCAGGGGGATTGTGAATAAGTATTTTATAAACATTCATTTACAGTTTCTATATGAACATAAGTTTTAAAATAAGTTTTGTAAATATTAGGAGCACAAATACTGATTTGCAGAGTTAGTCTATGTTTGACTTTGCAAGGAGCTAGCAAGTTGTCTGCTATAGGATTTTATATCCATACCATTAATGAATGAGAGAACATATTGCTCTGCATCATCACCAGTATTTGATATTGTTGGATCTGGCAGGTGTAGCCATTTCAATAACCATACCATTATACTTTGAATATTTGATTTTTTTCTAATTAGATAAGATCAAAGTCAAGGATCTTGCCATCCTTAGTAAAGAGGCTTATATGATAGTGTCTATCATAATTTAAATTTATAGAACAGGGAATAAAAAATGAAAATACTTGAAGTTCACATATTGCAAATGTAATAAGACTGAATTTGGATATCTGATTCTTGAACAGGTATTGCTTCTTCATTATTTGGGGTTACTTGGTTCTTACTCAAATAGAAGCCTTTTTTTTCTAGCATTTCTACTGATTCAGTGTGTTCCACATACCCTTCCAATATATTCCTTTTCTTAGGTTAAGCAAGTGATTTTCAGCAAGTAAGCCTATCAGGTATTCACTCAATAAAGCAAATAAAAAAGATATACTCATGGTTGATACGTAGAGATGGTGAAGTAGTATTAATTGATTCATTTGGAATATTCATAAGGGGTAAGTAAAACCTATTTTTAAAATCTAGAGCCATATTCAGAATAGTACAAAAACACTTTTGTGTGAAAATAATAGTGATTTTCTTTAATTAAAGAATTTTTCTAATTATAACACATTAGAATTGAAGCCTATTTTTATGAATTCCAGAATACTTCTGTTCTACCATTTACTATTCCTCCCTATTGTGATCCTAATCTATCAAAGGAGTTGTATACTTCCTATAATCACTGGGGTCTTTTGAGAACCTGACTGACTTTATTGAAACATTGTGTTAGTTTGAAAGTAGACAACATGCATAAGAATTAGTAGGGTTGAAACTAGGAATACAACACCTTTTACAACATCCCTTCATTTGTACATTTTCTCATCAACATTAGATTTTACACCACAATATAAAAAAGGAAATAATAAAAGTAAACACTTGACATTTTCTTTTGTATATTTATCATTGATTTTTATAATATTTGGAGATACCAAATACTTCTCAAAAAAATAAAGGTCAAATGCTCTTATTAAAGTAGACCATCAATGCAAATATTAGAAAGACAAAAAGATCACATATGATTTAAATATCAAATTCTTTACACAAAAATTGTGAACATATATATTTCAATCATTAAGGAAAACTAAATAATTCAAGGCACACTGGTGAAAATGGTTGAAAACATCTAATTCAATTTGCTTCAATTTGCTCCCTCATAAGAGGACACCTGTACTAAAGATTTTCCTTTTGTATTTTTTAAGTATTCAGATTTTAGAAGATTGGATACAAAATGTTTCTAAACCTCTTTGATATGACAATGAATCAGTGGCAATCAATACTAAAAATAAAAAACAATACAATGCAATTAAACATCAATGAAATTAGTTGAGTTACTCTGTTAAAATCATGATGGCACAGAAAATAATGACTCTTTCACAATGACAGTTTTTTTAAGGAGAATAGACTGAAAGAAAATCTCTGTGAATATATTTTATAAAATAATCAGGTTTTGCAACTCATAAAGCATTCTTCTTTGGGATGGTGTTTCTGCAAATCACAGAAGTTTATGTGTGAGTTTAACATTTTACCAAAGCAAATTTTCTCCCACAATGCCAGTAAACCCAGAGGAAAAAAATAATGTTAAATCCCCCTTTCTCTCACTGTCATAAAGATAAAATGAGAAAGAGTGAAAATTGTATTTCTATTTATGAAATGGCTGCAAAGTTTATTGATGTCTAAGATATGCAGACATAACACTGCTCTTTTATAGAAGAATGAATGATGGATGAATACTAACCCTTCGTTAGTAATAAATCATTAGTGAGGTGGTCAGCTTAAAAAGTCCCTGAATGACTCAAACTTGATCTCATATTAAAATCAAACCAGGATAAATCAGTGGGCCCCTCAATGAGGAAACACCAATAAAGGAGAATTAGGGTAAAGCTTTCTTGTTCCCTAGGATTTTTCTCAAAGCTTGTTTGACATCTTTGTTTCTTAGAGAGTAGATCAGAGGGTTTAACATGGGTGTCACCAGTATGTAAAATACTGAGGCCACTTTGCGGAGTTCAGGATTGCTGGGAGGTATGAGATACACAAATGAGACAGTCCCATAAAGCACACTCACTACCCCAAGGTGGGAGCTGCAGGTGGAGAAGGCTTTCTTTCTCCCTTCAGTGGAGGGAATCTTCAAGACTGTGGACACAATGTACATGTAAGATACTACAATGACAACTATTGTGGGAAAAATAATGAAGATAGCCAAACTCAGAGATACCATCTTATTGACAAAGAGATTAGAGCAGGAGATCTTCTCAATTTGGTAAGAATCACAGTAGAAGTGATCAATGACTCGGTATGCACAAAAAGACACTGAGAATGTCACACTGACTTGAATGGTGGAACTGACCCAGGCACAGAAATAGGAATCAGCCATCAGCTGGCTGCAGAGGTGTCTTGACATGTAGACACTATAAAGAAGAGGATTGCAGATGGCACTGAAGCGGTCATAGGCCATGGCTGCCAGGACAAATCCCTCTGTTACAATGAAGAGTGTAAAAAGGAAAAGCTGGGCAGCACATCCTCCAAAGGATATGTTTTTTTTCTCAGACAGGAAGATGACCATGGCTTTAGGAGCAATAACAGTGGAGTAGGAGAGGTCAATGAAAGACAGATTTCCTAGAAAGAAATACATTGGTGTGTTCAGCTGGGAGTCAGTCACAATGACTGCCATCATAATAATGTTCCCCAAAAGGACCATGACATAGATCAGTAGGAACAGGAGGAAGAGGAGAATGTAGAACTCTGGAGGCACCCTGAAGCCTGCAAGAATGAAGTCAGTTACATCCGAGTGGTTGTTTCCTCCCTTGTCACTCATGGCAAGAACCTACTAGGAGGTATGAGACAAGGTTAAGAATTAAATTTTATACCTTTGCTCTAGTATCATAAAATATCCTTTTTTTCTTGGAGAAGATGTTGAGATTTGTATTTTCATCTCTTTTAAGCCACCCACTCCTTATAGGTTTGAATTGTTATATCCTTTTATAGGAATTGAATCTGAGGTATATTGAAATTGCTGATCATCACACAACCTGTGAGTTACCAAACTCATGGCTTTCTAATATATGTCTTGGCATCCAGTGCTCTTCCCAGTATATCACATATGCCTTTCACTATTAAAGAGCTATTTCTTTCTACCTATTGAGGTCACCACTTTATTTATGTGGTAAGCTTAACATATCTGACAGTTTTGAGAGATGTACAATTTTTTTTGCACATTTATCTGGTAACTTACACTTTATTTTATCCTCAATAATGCTTCTTTTGTAATAATAATTTTTGTCATGTTTTGTTAAATGAATCTTGTAATAAACAAAAATTATTATTGCAAAAGAAGTATCAAAATTAAAGAGTGATTTAAAACTCCATGAATAGACATGAGATATTATTAGAGGTCAGTATAGTATTCATAATTTCTGAGAATTTTAAATAACTTTAGTTATATATCATGAACTAGAAAACCTTAAAAATAACATGCCTTTTAATTTCTTGACATGAACAATGTCCAGATGTGCTTTCAGAGAAAGAGCCTATGATTTTTACAAACCTACAAACCTCTGTACAAGAAACTAGATTGACCATCTGTGCAACCAAAAAAAAAAAAAAAGGAGACTTTAAAACAATGTATGTACAAAATTTTTTGGTTAGGAAGAAGAAATATCAGTTGTGAAAGCTGATTTTATGATCTCTAACATTAAAGGTTTTTAAAGGTATATAAATGGTCATAATAATTGCTTTGAGTCTATCACAATTAAATACTCTGATTTGTTTGTCTTAAAGCTTTTTTTCTGTTTCGAACAATGAAGTGACATGGTCATTTATTTATTGTATTCAGATTTTAAAATCTTCCTTTAATAGTCCCTTCCTCAGCAGAATGGAGAGATTATGTCACTTATCAAAAGCAGCAGGCACTGTCCTTTGTCCTTGGATCCTATCCTCCCTCACACTGGTGACCACTCTGTCTCCTCTGTCTACTCCCCAAACCCTCAACTCCTGTTGCTATCATCACCTTCTCATCGCTTGATCTTTCTCCTCTATCTTCTCAATACCAGCTTTTCTTTTAAAAAGTTAAAAACAGAATTCACAAGAAGACACTCAGCAGGTAACAGCTCAGTTATGATTCTTAGAACTTCTGTCTACCCCATGGCTATCATTTCTCTCTAAAATCCGCTCAATCTTAAATTAATTTTTGAAAAAGGCACTGGGGGTGTGAGAAAAATTCCACTCCAATACTGTGGTAAAACAGTGACAATAGAACAGGAAAAAAAGATTATAAATTTTTAGAGAAAATAAGAAGGCCTGTCAAAGGCACCAGATTCACACCACACAAATGAATATTTGACAATATTTAGCTGTAAACTTTCATTTTATTTCTAATTCCCATTTTTGTTCCTCAGGTGATAGTATGTTATCTGTCACTACATCAGCCAGTATCTAGTGGACAGGAAATTACTATTTTGAGATCATTACTTTTTCAAGAATAATGTGTATTCACCCAATCATTTATTAAATCAGTAAACACTTGTGGGCCACCTACTGTATACCAGCCAGGATGAGAGAATGTGGCAGTCTTTGCAACAAGTTTCTTCTCACAGTACAGAGGCAAGGCTAGGTTAGTAGCTCAGAAGTAGAGCATACACTCAGCCTACTCAAGGCCAGGGGTTCAATCTCCAGAACTGCAAAATGATTTTTAAGAATGTACAAATGCATTGCTTTTTCTTTTTTGTCTACATTCACTTAAAAATAACCAAGATATAATCATCTGCCTTTCAATAAAAAAGGTATTACTTTCTAAGGTGAGTACTGATTTTTTTTCTACATAATTGATAAGAAGAAAGTTTTACTCATTATAAATTTTATTCTTTGAAGCATACACAAGCCTCTACCCCTGCTTCTTGGCTGCCACGTGAACAGCTTTGCCCTATCCCATGCTCCTCTCCATAGTGCCAGTCTACAAAATAAGTTATTGGTTATCTACTTTAAAAAAAGCACAAAAACTCATGGATGACTAGTTATTTGAGTGAAATAAATAAGTTTATGTTACTTCTTACCTGAATATTTCTTCTTTCCTTAATGCTTCTGAATAGTGATTTTGTAATAGTGGATGCAAGGACACAAAAGTTACTGCCTTTAATTCTAGAAAGGTAAAATAAAATGTACAACTAGATAAATGTACTTAAAGCCAACTTCAGAATTAAGAATTATACACAAAAGTTAAGCACAAGATATTAAAAGCTGGATTAGACATTTTATTCTCAGTTTTAGGTTCTGCCCATAAATTAATATCTCATTCTCTAACTGAGTGGTTCTTTTTAATTTTCTTAGTAGTGCCTGAAAATCCCCTTTAAATGTGCACCTCTTCCTACAGACAAGAGATGAAAGAGTTGATCTCTTAAGACCTCTTCCAGGCCTTTGAACATTTCTTATTAAGACTAAAAAGAAAATGCAACTGAACCTTTAAATCACACTCTGTGAGCATGACTCTTCTGTATTAGGGTATATTTTATAGGCCTGAAAATGAAACCAATGAAAGTAAAACAGAAAAATAAAATCACCAATGAATAGAGAGATTCCCTAATGACCTGCAGGAATAGAGTAGGAGAAATCAACGCTATCTTTAGTTAGCATTACTGCAACAATTTCAGGTAATTACAGCAAAGATTGAGTAGAAAGTTGTCCCTCTGGGTGAGGAGAGGAATAAGTCAACCATGAGTGATTAGAACAGAAAGCTCCAGGTCCATCCCATGTGGGCCAACAGGGACAGATAATAAAAAAGGATGATATCTACCCTTATTACTCACCTAAATTAACTCGGGGTCTTTTGGGATATGACTCATGGATAGAAAAACTTGCTTTAGAAAATATATTTTATGAAGTTTTCATTCTTCAGTTTACACCTTCAACAGTCACAATAAATTTATTTTTTGCTTCTTTTACATGTCAGCTTATAATTCATTTCTCCTGATTTTTCATAGGATCCTAACTTTTGCTGGATTTCTATTTTGCATATTATAGCATAAATTATATTATAGACCATGTTATTAATATAGCCAAAATTTAAATTAATATCAGTGTTTTACAAATAAATATATGAATGTAAGACCTTGTTGCCACTGGTGAACTTAATACTGTGAGTCTAGCTACACCTCAAGTATGAGGATCCAGATATCAGAATGTCCTTTTTCCCTAAAATATAAGAAATAATCAAAGGAGTGATAAATTGGAGGAAATAAATATGTAGAACTGTAGCAAATCTTACTCTATAATATACTGACTTTCGGTTATTGAAATCCATACTGATTTCCATAGTTGTACTAATTTATAGTCTACCAACAATGAATAAATGTACCTTTTCCCCCACATTCTTGGCAGCAATTGTTGTTAATTGTATTATTGATGACTGGCCTTCTAACTGGAGTAAGATTGAATCTCAATGTATTTTTTATTTGCCTTTACCAGATTGCTAAGGATGTTGAACTCTTTTTCATATATTTGTTGGCCATTTGCCTTTCTTCTTTAGGTAAATGTTTGTTTAGTTCATTGGCCAGTTTACTGATTGTATTATTTGAGTTTTGGTCTTAAGTTCTCTGAGTCCTTTAAATATTCAGATATTAATTCCCTGTCAGAAGGATTGGCAAGGATTTTCTCCCATGCTATACACTCTGTGTTCACACTATTAATTGCTTCCTTTGCTATGTGAAAGTTTTTAAATATGATACCATTCCACTTACTGATTCTTGTTTTTTTTTTTGTTAAAATTTAGGAGTCGGAGGATCCATCATGGTGGCAGGAAGGGAGTGAGCTGCCCGGTGCCCACACAGCCAGACCCGGAGATCTTGCATAGTCAAAATACTACATCTTCGAGAGTGTTAGAGGACCCCTATCCAGCTGCTCTCTGCAAAAATCACCAGTGCTGTGACCCCACACAGAGCTCCAGGCCTCAGGGTTCGAGTAGAACTCCAGGCGTTGGAGCAGGACCCAAAGCCCGGAAGTTCCTGTCCACGCGAGACTTTGTGAGCCCCTTAGCAGAATCACCTATCAACACATCTGCAGATCGCCAGGACTTTGCTCCACTCCCACGCAGGTCACTCAGCTGCTACCTACCCACAGCACAACGCCATCGCCTGGCTCCCCCCACCTCACCAGGCTCCCTTCACCTCACCAGACACCCCTGTGCTGAAAGCAGACTGCAGCCATCTTGACTCAACATTCTCGCCAATTAGTTGGGGGTAGTTCTCAGATTGGATCTCCGGCAGCCAGGTACCAGATTTTCAACCTCCCCGCTCCCCAGCTGTGCTAACCCAACACAATAGTTGCCCAACACAGGTGTGCAGTGCAACCAGGGAGCTGCCCACAGGAGCCCCAAGGTGAGAGTTTCCTCAATTGGGAAATGACTGCTAGGAGAGAGGGAAAAACCAGGAACTGAGAAATCTCTAGGCAAGAGATAGAGATAGTACCGGGCACTCACGTCATGAGTGAGTGGTCTCAAAAAGAGACCCTTGAGGTGCAGTCTTTCTGCAGGGGACTGGTGGGTGCCACTCCCCACATCCAGGCACCCTGCACCAGGACCAGCCTTCCCACCCTGTTTACCGCCATCATCCAGAGGGCAGAGACACCAGTTTACAACAGACGATGCCACTTACTGAATGAGAAGAGAAGCAGGAAAAGATACGGATCGCTAAAGCTAGCTACAATCCTGGTTTCTTCCTTTGTGTTTTTGTCTGTTTTTTTTTTTTCTCTTCTACCCCTCCATCCTCTGGCTCTCACATCCCCAACATATGTGAAACCAAGAACTTTGCATGAAATAGGACTTTGAGG